TAATTAAGAGTATTTTCAAACCCACAACTGGTACTGCCAAGTGGTCATTTGTTATGCAACTTGTTTACCCTTTTGGTCTACCAGTACAAAGATTGTAATTCATGAAATATAGCTTTTTCTATGAAAAGTTGTTTCCTAGGGGAAAACACAGTCTGGTAGAAAAGAATAAAGCATGAACATATGTAAAGGATTTCAGAGTAAAATAAAAGATTGAAAGGAAGATGTTTCCAAGCTAACTGAAATTAAATTTGGTCTGTTCTTTTAGCTAGCAAAAAGAAAGTAGAAAAAAAAAAACATCTGAGAATTACAGGAATTAAGAAACAAGTTAAAGACTGAACCTGCTTCCCCACCTTAGCTTAAGCACGGAGAGAGCGCCCTGGGAGTCAAGGCATTTGGAATAAACAGGAGTGTTTCAGCCTTGCGGAAACTGCTGGCAACCAGCTACCAGCACACAGTCTCTCAGGCCCTTTTTCTGCCTCTAATTTTGTTCCTCCTCCCCTTTGAAACCCATACAAGAATCCAGCACCTTCTGAGATCAACCAAGGAGAAAAAAAGCGACGTAGGTATTACAGAGCAAAGGCTCAGAGTGCTATCACACATCGCAACAGCACACACATTGGCAATTATTTCTCACTAAATTACCTTACTGATTGTTTCAGTGACTAGGCTTAGAGACAGGATACCTCTTACCCTTCACTTGCTTGATTAGGAGCTGCTGCAGCTCTGGACTTAAAAGTACAAGACTGTTTCTCCCAATTTTCCTCCACTGAGCTCCTGTGCATTTCCCAGATACTACACTCCAGTCTCTGAATGCAAAGCAAAATTTGTGCCCAATAATGCAGCCATTATTATCACGGCACACAACTTACACTAGATGCATCACACAAATACTCAAGTTCCCAGTACACCAGCTTGCCCTGTGAGCTTTTTTCTTGCAACAGAGTTTTCCCCAAATCTGCCCGATAGCCTCCGGATGCCAAGATGCCTCCACTGCCCACAGCAGGCTGTGGTCAGGGCTTTTGACTCATGCGGACATGGATGAGGTCATTCCTTGTTTTGTTGGTTTGCTTGTCAGATCATGATCTGAGGCTTTTTATTATAAGGTGTTTATTTTTTTTTTCCCCAGCAGAGGAAAAGCTGCTCTAGCAGCAGAGGCAGGCGATGAAGCTGCTGTCTTGTAATGAAGTTTCACTTCCCTGCTTTAACACAGATTTCCTACACTACCATGTTCCATCTGCTTCATCATTCAATGTCTCAGCCACCCTCCCTATCCTACAGAGATGTTGGGAAGGAAAAACATATTAAAGACTATGACAGTCTCAGTTACTACAGTACTAAGGACTTGCTGAAAAGCTCAGTTTACGACCAAGACTTAATTAGAAGACAAGTGGTCACATCCATCGCCAACAGTAAAATTTCAGCATCAGCAACAATTTAGCCACAGCAGCAGAGCTGGTTATCATCTCTCTGCATCCTTCCCTGCTCGGACCTTTGGTATTTTCTTAAACTCCGGCAATCAAGCTTTTGCAACTAGTGAAATCCAAACTAGAGCAACACCCAGTGCCACAGCATCTCTGCCTGCCGCACAGGTGGACCTTCATGCAGGACGTGTCCAATGAGACAGTGTTTGAAACTGTCCTGCAGAACTACAGAGTGCCTCTGGTACCAAGGAAAACTTCTTCAGTTATGGAGAATTTGAACCAGATCATTTAGAATAAAAGCATTTAACAGTGACAGAAAAGCAACTTTTGGTTGGTTTGGTTTGGTTTTGGTACCTTTTCACCAAGGCAAACAGAAGCTTAGTTGGATGATGTAACCTGGTTCATCCTTAGGCTGGCAAAAGAGCTACTGGAAGCACACAGAGCATCATCTGCTGCCTAATTCTTTTAACTCACTAGCTTATTTTGATAATTCAAGTTATGACAGATCAGCTCAGATGAGAATCTTTTTCTTACAAGGGGAAATTATTTCTCTTGAATTCATAATACAGTCAGTAGCGGGGCAGGATAACAACCCCATCCCATCCTTCAGAGCAAGTACAAAAATACACGTATTTTGTCCTTTGAGTGACTGCTGAATCTAGGCTTAGCTCCATCTTCAGGTAAAAAAAGCTGCTCCCATACATCTACAATCAGAACTCCTTTCTTTTATTATGTACAGAATTAAAAGCTTAGATTTCAACAGCATTGCTAAGTATATATATTTAACGTTTAAGGCTGATGATAAAAACAGCATAAGAGGCAGATTACTCTAGGAATTATATAAAAATGCAGCAGTCATTTGACTCTGCAATGGTAAGGTTTTATTTAGGTAAAGTCTTTAAAGATATAGAGAACACACACCAGGAGAATTTAGGAAGTATTCTGACAGTTTATATTTCCATTCAATTTTCTTTAATTTCTCCTCTAAAACCACCTTATATTGCCGAGATATTTTTTAAATGTGATTGTCTTTTAAACCTTTGCTAAAACATTCTACTTAATTTTGGCAGCAGATGTAAGCAAACAATTTATCTGGTTTTACACCTCCATGCATCACCAAAAATACTGAAAAAGTAAAGCAAAAAAAAATTTTAAAACCTGTTTCTGTTTTCACATCAGCCTTAACTGAATTATGGTCACCCCAGCCCCTGATAGACTTAATCTGAAGTCCACTGTGGACCATATGAAACTCCGAGGACTCGGGATGAGGATGAGAGAAGAGCCTCCAGGCCCAGAAGGGAAGCAGAGGACATTCAGGGCAGGCTGGCTGAGGGGACTGGTATGCTCTTGAGTCATTCAGCCCTCCCTTCATCCACCTGAGATGTCCCCAAGGAGGGGCTGTACTCCCTGCAGTGTGCAACACCTCTCTCATTGCAGGGACAAACAAAAGATGTGCAAAGCTGGAAGTGAAGGACAAGATTTTGGCTCAAAGCTGTTTGCAAGTGTTTCCTTGCAGAGCACTTGCTAAGTGCCCGGTCCTGGATGTTTAAACAAGGGCTGGTCTCCCACACACCACCTCTTGTTCACAGCTAATCCTGCAGCGAGGTCAAATAACACCAGCTCTGAGTCACCACAGCTATCTCCAAGGCAACTGGCCGAATATACCATGTAAACACATGATTACAGATTCACTGTGAGTTCAGGGAGGAGGAGGAATAAGTCATGCTCTTACTGAAATCAGAGTGGTCAGTGCTGAAGCAACACTGGACAAATGCATCGGTGTCAGCGGAGGGTATGAAAAAATTGTTTTCTCCCATTCTGCTTCTCCCTAGCACCCCCTTCACCACTAATGTCTTTTTTTTTTTTTCTCCAGGTCATTTCTCTAAAATGATGTACAAGCACATAAGAGGGAGTTATCCAAATAGTTCCTTACACCTGAGATGTCACCTCTTCCTGCACACTGCAGCTCTGGACAATGCCATCTGTCAGGAATGGGACTACCTTTCTGAAAGATCTGCTAAATCTTTGCCTGATACAAGCTATATTTTGCGACAGCACCCACTGCTATGCAGCATCCCACACCACAAGATCACAACTCTAAAAAAGCATATTGGAACTAAAGGAACAACTGAGAGCAATTCCTTCCTTTCCCTTTGAATCAGCAGTCAGATTTCCCACTACCAGTGACAAACCGAGCCTCAGGAGCCCTCTCCAGTGACTCAGTTACATTTGGAGCTGGCAGGACAGGCAGAGCCCAGAGCATCATCTCAGGTACCGCCTGGCAGCCACCACACCAGCCGCATCCACGGCTGCTCTGGGGACATCAGGGCCAGGAGTGACAGGAAAGCATCGCTCCCACCTGGAAATCCCATGAAATACGCCAGTTCCCATGGGGGCTGAAGGGGAACACTGAAGCTTTTCAGTTCCTTTCTTGGTGACACAGCCACCGTCCCGAGGGGGAGATGAGATCATTGCAAGCTGGGCTGGCAGAGCCCCACGCCTGCCACACAAAAGCAGGGAAGGAGTCACCCCTTCTCCCACCTCTAGAGAAAATAAGCACTAATCTGATTGATTGCACAGGGCTTCAGTCATCAGTAACTGTAAAAAAGACTTCTCTTCCCAAGCTACTTGAATAACCCAAACAGCACAAAAAGAGAAGGAAATGAAAAAATACAGTGGCTAAAAGGTTCAGCTATTCATTCCCAGGAGGAAAAACTCCTTAGCCCAAATTTTACTTCATGTGTATCTCTCATAAAACAGTACTTAAGAGACAGATAAAAAGGCAAACTCAAGAAATACACTTTACCACTTAAGCTATAACTGTGTCTAGTGAAAATGTCAGGCGTTCTTCTCACACTAGTATAAATGTGCTGCATAGCAACAAGTCAGAATGAAAGGTTAATGGTAAAGACTGCAGCCTGGAACATACTTATTCCCACGGTCCTGAAGTCGCCGAAGGAAAATGCTGCGCCAATTTGTTTTGTTTTATTAATGGCACGAAGACTGAAAAAGCGTGGTGGGCTTCAATGTGAAAACCCACCCCATCTAACCCGCTGTGCTGGAGGGATGGCACCAAGCACCATATGTTGCCTGCAACTGCAAGAGTTTCAGAAACACTATGTTGGCTCTGATCTGCACAGCGGGATTTAGGGGAAAGGGGCTGTGTTTCACCAGGACTACAGTAATGAACCTCACTGAGTTAAGCAGATCCTAAGCATAGCTAGAACTTACCGGGCTGTACACCACTTGGACAAGAGCATCTCTAATCTTGTAAATGTGTCTTCCATTAACTTGCTCACATTTAAAAGCTTTTTACTATGCACAAAAACAATTGCGCATTTTCTGCAATAGATTCCCATAGATACACATTAAATAATTGCAATTTCAGAGTCATGTAATTGCAGTGAAATCAAGTGAGAGATTTTTAAAAGGCAAAAGCAGTCATCCAAGCCACACATTCTACTCTCCATGAATATGTAAATGAGAAAAAAGATGACCAATAAAACCAGCATTACATTTAAGTCCACTTGAATTAATCAAATTTCATAGACTGATATCCAAAGAAAGACAATTGTTTACCGGGAGAAATTGTCTCCAGACTCCCAGGATTAATCTTTCTTGTGCTTGTGCAGTGTTGGACAGTTGACCCAGTGAAGACTAAGTAAAAAACTACATCATCTTCAACTTTATCTTCCTCAGTCAGCTGCACTGTAATAACAGAGTCACCCTAGGGAAAAGAACAAAAAAAAAAAAAAAAAAAAGAAAAAAAAAGGTTAGGTTTACATTTGCAAGAATGGCATTATATAAAATAAAACTTCTCTGCCTCCAAGGCTACTGCTTCCCATTCACATACTCCTTTCACACGACTCAGGACTTGTCCTTATTTTCAGACACACAAGTCATCGTTAGCATGACTCTTGACATCATAGCCAGCCAACCAGCTAGAAAATACGCTGAGCACAGATCTGGGAAGGGATACGTAGAAATGTTAAGGGTATACTCAAAATAGCAACTTAATATGGTGAAATCACACCAAGTCTGACAAACATGAGCATATAGCCCACACAGAGTTTTTTTATACACACACATACGTATCCCCCACATATACACAGTTAAGACAACAGAACAGGGACAGAATCCTAAAACTGTCTTCATCTTCATAAACTCTATCAAACCAATTCTCCAGTTCTTGCCTGAGCATTCACATTTCCCCCTGCCAAGCTAGCTACTGTGTTGATAGTTCCAGTGTAACCAATTCAATCACTGAACGCATCTCTCATCCTCAATCCATAAACACACAAAGATATAGAAGGTTCATATCCACTAAGATTTTTTCCACCTTCCTTATAAAAAAAAAATAAATTAACTGTGGCTGTACAGGCAGTGGTAGCTCTTCTTACTCAGAATCTATAAGCTCATGCCTCGATGAAAAGCTCTGTACGTTATCAAAACCAGCAGTTCTTCAAGCCCTGAAAAGAAATTTCTCGTGATTTGTTGGCTGAACACTCCTGCTTAGTTTTAGGGAGGCTTTATTTCAGTATCTCAGTACATTCTATCATTTTGCTCATCTTTGCTATCAGCAAAAATTATGTTCATAAAGGGCACACATTATCACAGTTTACCCAGCACAGGATACACCTGAAACTCATACACCTGCAGGGACAACAACAGGAGCAATATCCACCAACTTCAGTTTCCCATGGGAAGGGAAAGCCAGAAGAGAGTACAGCTTGCAGTTACTACGGCACCGAGGCATTTTCATTTGATCCCACCACACACTATTTATCTGCCCAAAGAATTATATAAACTACAAGACACCGAGAACAAGAGACAGTGAAGTGACCTTCTGCCCCTTTTCTACCAAGATCAAAACCAGTTGGATGCTCCAGTTTCACACTGCAGCTGCATTAGCCAGCTCCCTGCCACCACCCCGCTGAGCACATGGTTAAGGCTACAAATCTGGAAAGAATTTTTTTATTATTATTATTATTTTTGCAGATTATGTAATTCTAATTTGCATGTCCAACAGAATACGCATGTCTTTTATTTAAGACCTTCTCCTTAAGATCACTCAGTTCAGCCCTTCTCTTTGTCCAATATAATTATCACAGAAAAATCACAGCCTTCCAAGCCCTCCCATGCACCCGTGCCATGTTAGTATCACTTCCTACGCTCTGTCTCGCGTCTCCCCCTGTTCTCCCTCATCTCAGCTCCTTTTACATCCCGCTGCAGATTTCTTCTCCCAAATTCATGCCCAGTTCTCCTCCTCTGATCTGGCCTGTCTGGTACCTCTTGCCAGGGGCAGGGTTGCACCTTGTTTTGATAGAAACAAGGTTTTTCAGTGCAGTACACAAGCAGCCTCCAGTCTTAAATTAAAACACATATATAGGTCAGTCTTATAACACACAAGAAAGAAAACAATAAATTCAAATAGAACAGTAAGTCTAGCTTGCATTTCCAGGGGTTGCAGAGTTACAAATGCACTCTTTAGGAAGGTCTCACGTGATAATATCAGCCCAGACTTCCAGCTGGGGAGAAAGGAACCATGTAGCAACAGTATATACTGCATACAGTCACTGTTAAAATAAAAACAGGTGCAAAAAGAAATAAATCGAGCTTTAAATTCAAGCATGACCAGTTCACATGCTGAGTTGAAAACTAAATATTCCATTTCAAGCAAATGGATCTGGCTTTGAGTGGATGTTCAAAAAAACCAAAAGCAGAAGTTTTAACCTACAAACCCTTTGCGCTTTGTTTTTTACATCCGTTTGTGTTCAAACTATTCCTCCCTTAAGGCAGGAACATACAAAGTACTTACATGGACTTAAAATGCAGGTGACATTTCAGGTCACTCATCAGCAGGGCTGATTGTTTAAAGTGGTATCTGTTAAAGTACTTTTTTTTGTTTGTTTAACTCAAATCACATACAGCTAGTCCAATTCCTGTGAAATGAAAGCAAACCCATACAGAGTGCACCTGAGAATACACCTGTCTATCCGTGAGAACTACTCACTTTTCACAGAAAAGCAATTTAATTTACAGCATTATTGCAAAAGCTAATTTGTATATTTAGTTAGTGACAAAAAAAAAAAAAGTGTAAATACATGTAAGAAACCTCAACACCAGCAGTTCCACGTAGCCTGAAATCTGTCTAAGCCAGGACTGGAAAGATAGCTGAACTTCTTATATAGATACCTGACCTAATTTTGAAGTTGGCCCTCGTTTGGAGGATGGTCAAACCAGACAACTTCCAGCAGTCCTTACAGGTGTCTTCTGAGCCACCTCCGAGCTGTCCTGTGCGCGGGGTACAGCTCACCCTGCGCGATGTGATCCCAGATCCCGGAAGGAAGAGCAAAGCGCTAAGTGAGAAAGACCATCTTCCTTCAGCAAACATCTCTACTTCCCAGTTATCAACAATTTTGTTGCCCACTGCCCATTTTAATGTGATTTTTTAAAGTTATATTCAAACAACGTATTTATTTGAAAAGGAAATAATGCACAGAACAAACCTCTCTCTTTTAAATATTTTTGGAGTTAAAGAAAATCACTTACAAATGCAGCCAAATTCCTCCAACCCACGTAGAAGACTTTCCAACTGCACTATTGCATTCAGCCTCCAAAAACATTTTAATTGAAGTATGTTTACCTTTATTCATTTAATATTGTCCAAAAAATGTCATCTGTTCAGTATCACTGCCACACAAGGTGGTTATTATAACCCTGCTTTCATCCCAAATGGCTAGAAATGGGAGGCCAGCCTGCCAATATCCCTTTGGTGAAAGTACAGACAGATCAAAGCCAGTCTCTGGAATGCTCCAACAAATAAGAATAATTTAATTTCAAAACTAGTTTGGATCGACTAATATTTACTTGGCTTAAAGCCCACTGGAAATGAAAACATTCCATTTTGGTCCATTCATGAAAGAGGTCGCCCTCTCCCTCGTTCAGATCTGAAAATCTTTGGTTTCAGATAGCTGTAATGGGATGTAAAAAAGGTGGATGCGGCTCTTTCCTCTAAATATATTCCCTTCCTCAAACCAAAGGGAGAAAGTGGATTGTCTGCCTCACCAAGGGATGTGTTTAAAGCCCTGACCTTGGGCTTTAGACTACTATAAAACAATTCAGAAAGGGATGTTAGTGTCGCACAGCTCTGAAACTCTGGCTTAGTTAAGGCAGCAAAAATGCAATTATCTGTAAAAAGGCCCAAATGCTGTTAATAGGTCTAAAAACCAGAACTAGATAGATAACACACCTGTTTGTCAGCATATTTTGTTGGCATTAGGACAACTCCACCTTTTTAGGTATTTGTTTTTCCAATGCTGCAGTTACAAAGGCACAGGGATTGTGCATAAGCAAAGCACAAGCAACTTGGAGTAATCATTTCTTCTTGCTCAGATTTGCTTTGTGTGTCTGTGAAAGTGAATTATTTACCTTCAGAGGTCTGTTGGTGTTTTGGTTTTGGTTTTTTTTTAGTAGATGTCTTCAGCAATATTTGGAAATGACAATGAAGTGAACAAAATCTTTAAACTCAAAATAATTAAGATCACTTACGGTATCTAGCTGAAAAATACTATCTACCTTCCAAAAAGAAATAACTGTTTTAAGCACAGAAAAACATCTTTCTTTTCCACTTCAGGCTCTGGAAATCTGCCTGGTTTTGGGGAATTGGTCATCCTTTAGGACAACGAGGACAGCCCTGGCAAATGCAGAATTCAAGACCTCAAGATAAAAACTACGATTTTAGCTGGCGGGGAGGAATCTTCCCTGAGGGATATCAGCTCTGCCAGCAACAGGTACAACGGTCTACAAAGGGAAAAATATTCTTAGCATACCGCTAACAAATCAACAAATTTTAAAGTTGGTTTTGTTTTTTTTTTTTTTTTCCTAAAAAAAAAGGTAAGCTGTATTTTTATAGCTGAAGCATGTGACTTCTAAGTTGGTTTTCCCCTCGTGGTTCATACTGGGAATTTTGAAGTACGTTATCTAACCCACTAACCACCCACTCTGACCTTCCCCCCCCACAGAGTCTAAAAATACTTATGAAAATGAAGCTTGTGTTAGATAGCAATGCTGAAGCACTCAAGCATTACTTGAGCATTCTCCTTTTAACCAGAAAATACTAAAAACCAGTCATCTCAAATTTGTTCTAGATAGAAAAGCAAAATTGCTGCTGCTGACCATTCCCACCTCCAGCTGTTTTTCATACAGGTAAAGCCTAGCCAGTGATGGAAAGTCCATGTGTTGCTTAGAGATTCAGATGCAAGGAAAGAAGCCTTCCTCCCAATATATTTCCTTTTAAAGAGCTGTTGTAGACATCGGCATTATGCTGTTTTATCAAAGTGGCTGGATTAGGCACTGGATTACACGAGCCACTGTAACCTACCACTGTAACAAGTTTTGTTTTGTTTCTGCTATTCATAACATGAATCAGATGCTTGTTAGGTCACTGCTTATTGCATTATGTTGGGACACAAAAGAAAAAACAGGCTTTTGAAACAGATTTTTTTTTTTCCCCCCCGTAGGAAGCTCTAAATAGCTCCTAAGAGAGCTGCGCTGTACCCACGAGGACAGCACAAAAATCACAGTTGTGGTTTCTTCCTCTTCCTTCAAGGAATTCAGGCTCATTGGTACCTTTATTTCTTTTTTTTTAGATGGAGTTGGGCTTGCCGTTACCCCAGCTACTGCTCAACACAGAGTCACAGGATCAGGCTGCAATTACAGCAGGAG